ATTGGTGGTGGGATTGAAGAAGAAGGAGAAGAAAGAAGTTACGTTGAGGGGAAAGAAGAAGGAGAAGGGCAAGTACGTGAAATTGGTACAAATGACCGAGTCCGGTGGTTTTTTTTTAGGACCAAATCAGAGGATTTTGACCGAATCAGAAGTGCAAAGAAGCATAATCAAACAAGCTGTTCCAGTTGATCCGGACCGAGTCCAGAAAAACGACTGATTGGACCCAGACAGACAAGCATAATCAGAGGATTTTGTAAAAAAGTATGGCTTTGATTTAAAAATATTTCGACTTGCATTGGTTTAAAACTTAATAAATAAAAAAAGAAAAAAAAATTGGTCTTTAAATAACTTAAAACGACTATTTTGTTGTTTGATTTTTTTTTTTAATTTGTTAGGTCATATTTTTTATGATTAAAAAAATAAAAATAGATCCACCTCATTCCATTATATGATATTTATACACTTTTTTTGTTTCTTTTGATCGTCTGTTCCTTCTTTTTTTTTTTCTTTTCGGATAAGCTTAAGATGTTAAACAAGTTTGATGATAAGACGTGTAAAAAACTTTAATGATTAAATATTTTGTTACAATGACTTTTTATTTTAACATAATATAGGATTTTTTTTCTTCTCGTTTCATTATGAATTTCAGTTTATAAATAATAAAAATGTAACTTTTAATAATTATATATACCTAATCAAGATTTATCAAAAAATTTACTTAATTAGTTATCTAATTTTAATAATATTGGTCAGTAATATTACATCCAAAAATTATCTCATAGAACCTATTTTATAACGGTTAATTAATTTATGATCATTAATTAAATATACATATATTGAATTGTAGAAACATGCTCTAGATCATTACGTGTGAAATAAAGATCATGATATTAAGGATAATTTGATCATGCTGTTTCTAGGATCATGAGTATTTAGAATTTGTCCAGTTTGATTGTTATCATGTTTTCAATATTATTATTTATCATCTTATTAGTTGTTAATAAACATGTTTAAAAGCTCTATAAATTGTTAAAATTTGTATTTAACATTGTTGTTATAGTATTGAGTAGTAACCAAATTTCACGTGTTTTATTTAAATAATTTGAATATTGTAAAACAAAAATCGTATAATTTGGTTTGATAGACAAAAACATCACAAAATATTTAAAATCGCATGACAAGTGACAACCAGTATGCAAGCTTTAAATTAGGACAATAGAACTGGAGGGTAGGTTCATTACTTGCTTTAAACATACAATCCTTAAAATGTGCATCAATTGCCTTAAAACCACGCTGTCTTATCTTGCAGTTTTCATCTTTATATCGAATGGAACCTCTTCTGCTCTTCATGTGCATCATTTGCTTTAATAAAACGTAATTCTTAAAGCTAAATGAAACCAATATTAAATATCATTACAAGTATTTTCATCATTATGTTTGAAATGAAACCAATATTAAATATCATTGATATTAAATTTATTTTAAATTTTATACTAAAAGCAATATTTTTATAAAATCTTTCTTTTATTTAAAGAAAAAAGATACTATATTATAAAATATAGTTGTCATAAGAAAATAAAAATTGTTATGTTCTTGTTTGATGATTTTATATATAAATGATAACTAGGTGTGAAACTCATGTATTACATGAGTTTATTTAATATATATAT